ATCCATAGATACCGTTATCTGAGTCCAAATAAAATCCACTAGCAAACAAGGTATTGTCAATTATTCAGCCGTCAAATTATAAAGGACAAATTACTTAACTACATTTTTTTACTTATCTTAATATCAATTTATTCCTACTTATTTCAAAAAATTCAAAAATCACTTAATTACCTATGTATCTCGCAGTATCCCGTGCACAACGCTATGTATCCCGCTATGTGGAATGTATCAAACACTATGTATCCCATGCACAACGCTATGTATCCCGCATGTATCCCGTGCACAATGCTATGTATCCCGCTATGTGGAATGTATCAAACCTAATGTATCCCGTGCACAACGCTATGTATCCCACTATGTGGAATATCCCGCAAACATCATTTTTAAGGGATTTTTGGTAAATAGAAAACTAGAAGGGATAGGATGTTATTTAGTACTTAGAATATGTGGTTCCTATAATTTATACAATTATAAATTATACATACCATTAGAGCTGTCAAAATGGGCTTAATCCATGAGGTCGGCCCAATGTAACCTGTCATTAGAATAGGATTGGGATAGGATTTTTCAAACTCATTTAAAACTAGGGCTTATAAGTCCGATTCATATAAACCCTTGGTCCTTGAGGCTTAATTGGGGTCGGCCTGGGATCGACCCATGGTCCAAAACTATTTATTTAAGGGTAACATACAAAAATCTCACTAGTGTATAAACTAATTACTTAAATGCGCGCTATGTTGTAATATTACGAATCTTATCAGATTTTGGTGCATCCAGATAAATGGACTCAAAATTAGGCGTAATTTGTTCAAGATACACTCAATTCAAGTGAATTTGCATAAATCTAGGATGCATAGACAAATCTCGCATCTTCGACTCCCTCCAATCTCGCTCGTGTATCTAGGATGCATCACACCAGAGATATGTATCTCGTGTATCTATTGTCCTAGATATATGCTAATCAACTAGAGTTTTGCTAGTGTTATTGCAACAACACATTGTTTGTCATATTTGATTTGAAAATCCTCTCATTTTCTTGATGTTATAGAATTTTAAGTTTTAAAAGAAAAAATGAAAAAAAGGTAGCCCGCCCCAGCCCGCAATCCTTCTAGGATTAGGTAGGGTTGAGTACTTTCAGGCCCTTCCGAATGAAGGATTGGCCCTCCCTAATCCATCAAATTCCTTGACCCTTGAGATTTGGACAGGGGCGGCTCAACATAATTTGTGGCCTAAAGCAAAATTTTATTAGAGGCCTAAAATCTATATAAATTTTATCTATATCTATTTATTTTTCTAAATTTCTAGACGTAAATTACTACTTAATATCTTTTATATAAATGATTTTTCAAACACTTTTTTTTTTAATTATTAGTTTTAAGTAAGATTTATCACTTCAACATTGAAAAACATCCTTTTATTGAGACAATTATTATATGAATTATTAACACAATTTTATAAGTAATAAGTAGATAAACTTTAAAGATAAGAGTTAGAATCATAGAATTTGATTCAAAAAGTTGATAACTTAGTATACCTACTTTAATATGAAAATTAACAAATAAATTAAAAAAAGAATTTGTAATGCACTTTGTTCAACACTTTTCAACTATTGATTCATATTTTTGAGAGTGTATTACTCTAACTATCGAAGATTTGAAGAAATAGAGTGCAAAAAGAGTTACAAAGGATAAATAATGTGAGTGTTAACGAAGAAAATGTAAGAATCCAAAACAATGTTTCCTTAATTTCTTCTATTTGAATGGGATTATGATACATAATTTTTTATTTATAAAAATTTGAGGCCCCCAATTTGGCCAATGCCTAAAATTTTATAGGCAAGAGCCGGCCCTGGATTTGGATATGGATGGAGCTGAGATGATCCTTTTTGACAACTCTACACACCATTAGTTATAAAAAATATATTCTAAACCATCAAATCAGCAAATATATATTCCTTCTAAAAATATGAAAGTTTATAATTTTAAAAATAGTATTTTACCTATTATTTATAATAAATAAAAATGACCTAATAACATCTATTCATTCAAGAGTCTCTAATATTGACCTTGGACCTTTATGTCTACACTTAAAAAAGAAAAAGAAATGAAGATATATGATAGATATTAGTAATCAAGAATAAGTAGTTTTTCCTCTCAACAAGTATGTAGACAATTATTTTCTTCATCTTAAATTAATTGTTATATTTTCCTTTTAAAAGTTAAATACTCATTTTTAAAGTTATATTAAATTAAATTAACTTGATATTTTATATTTAAATTTCAAAAATTATATGATAAATACATAACTTATAAGTTTAGAGAAGATATGGAAAAGGTTGATGAAGAAAATATGGAGCTGTTTGTTTCTTGTCCTACTGAAAAAGGAAAAACCACAAAGTAGATAGCAACTTTGCCGACAGGTGGAGTTTCCCAAATTAATTTAAGGATCAATCCACACCTGAGAGACATATCATCAGGATCGAAAACAGAATAATATATAATTATACCTACTAATTATATATTGTAATTATTTAGTGATGGAGTTAAAAATATAACTTTATGAGCTCAAATATTTAATATTAAATAGTTATGAATTTATAATTAGGAAATATTATCTAAATACACTATTTATGTTATCATATTCTTTAAAATTTCTAAAAAATACAAAAAAATTATACTCTCCTATTTTCGGATACATTACTTATGAATTTATCAGTTGGATTTATTTCATGCGATGTATTGGTTGGATACATCAATTTATGCAATGTATATAGACATACGTGATGTATAGGGACGTTGAGTGATGTATTCAAAACCAAGATGAGATATATCGGGATGTATCTTAAATCGGGACACAATGTATCAGGACGTTTTGGGATGTATCCAGATTCCACCAAATTTAAGAGATTTTTGTAATTTAGAAAAAAAAAAAGGAATAAAATGTAATTAGCTCTTAACACTATATATTTTGTGTAAATTTCCCTTATAATTAATCCGCAGTAATAATACTGACTTCAAATTATAAGCTCAATGTTATAAAACAATATTCGCGTTTGGTATTGTTAACCTAAAGAAGACTAGATATTTGGTTAATTTTATTTATATATGTAAAAGGTATATATATATATATGTCTAGTCTCTGGAAAGTTCAAGCTGAAGTTAAGCAGACGCATAAAACAATTAATTAATAATTAGATTGGCATAGTCTTTAATTTTGTGCTTTTGCAAGTAGAAGGTGACATGGTTTTACTTTTTCTTAGATGGTGTTCCATTGTTGAGAAGTCCTAAAAATTAGATATCTATCAATTAAATTTATTTGTTGACCTATAATGATCCTATTGACAATGAAGCAAGAATTCTTAAAAAAAATAACATAAAAAATAGTGGATAATGTGGAGGACGTTAATACACTACTAAAAAATTATTATTTTTCCACTAAAAAATATTCAGTGTCTATTCCACGGATATTTTGATTGAGTCTAGAGAAAAAAAAAATAGTATTATTTTCATACGGAAAAATTATGAAACTTACATGATAATCTATTTCTCATCGTTCCTTCTCCGAGTGAGCTAGTTCGGTGGAAAATGAGAAAACCCTTTATATATTTCTAATAGTGATCGATATATGTACGTGAATAGTGCATTATTTGTTATCTAGGAATTATCTACTGCTAAGGTAGTTTTTTTATTTTTAAATGCTCTTATTCATATACTGCTAATACATGTTTCATTATTCTACATTTTATTCCATATAAAACAATATTTTAACATAATTTCCATAAGATCTAGAAGAAATTGATTAGCAAATGTGCACGCAGACTATCTAATTGACAAGACAATTAATGTTGGCTAATTGCTGAGACCGGAGTGAGCCTTTAATTTCATGTGTGGAAAGGAACCATGAGGTTCAAAGACTAGAGGGGTCAAAGGTTTCATTTGAAAGGGAATTCACATGGGACATATATATATCTATATAGATATATTCATGATCTCATTAATGGAGATTCAAATACATACAATTACTAAAGGGAAAAAGTGTTAGGACCGAAATAATATTACTAAAGGGAAAAAGTGTTAGGATCAAAATAATTAGGTGTCATGCGGAATTAGTAAAACAAGTCCCAAAAGACCATGAATAAGAATACAAACAAGAATTATACCATAAGACACAAAGATTTAATGTAGTTCGGTCAACCGACGTACATCCGGAGATGAGCAATCTACTATATAAATATGAGAGTACAAAATATAGAGATAAATAACCTCAACCAATTCACTCGGAATTCATGGGAGGTTCACACAAGTGATATGTTATCACTTGTGTCCCACAAATTCTCCCCCTAACCAAAACTCTCAAAGCCCTTACGACTGACTACATTGTGAATGCTGATTAAGTTAGAAGGAACACGTCTCTATTTATAGAAATCCAAAACCTTTTCCTACAAGAAAATGACTAGTCAATCTTAAACCTTTTCCTAAAAGAAAAACATAGTTATGGTAATAAACTCAGGGCAAATAATACCCAACAAAAAGGTTGACTATAAAAAAACTTCTTTGTTTTCATACCTCTAACCTAAAATCTTTAGACTAATTTAATGACGGATGGATGAATTTATACGACTTGGTATAAAGACGAACATCAACTTAATATCCGCTTAAAATATGTTAGATAGTAAAATCATGAGGTGACCAAAAAATTTGACTTGTATCCAATATTATATACAATTATATATTGTGAATTAGGAATGGACTTATAGCATAAGAAAATAAAACTATATATGGCGGGAGCAAGGCCCGTCAACTTCATTTGCTTTACAAAACCATTAGAAAAATCATGAAAATTATCTTAAAGACTCAAATCTATTAAAGATTTGGTTCATACTATATTACATTTTAGTTTAATTTCCTTACACTAAAATTATAAGTTGCATCAATTTTATTTTCTCCTCATAACATTAACTTAGTGAAAAATAACCTCTATGATTAAATTAGATAAACATATTCCATTTAATCATGTCCAAAGAGTCTCCCATATAGATCCAACATTGTTCTCATCTAAGATGCTCATGTTGTTTTGTGAACTTCCATATTGTGGGATATTAGTGAAATTGTCCAAGGATTGTTGTGGTGGTGATGCTTGTGGAGATTGTGTCATTTCCATACAAAAAAGTGTCATAAAGTTAGCTTGTTCACATTGCATGTTGACAACCTCAGCTTGTGCTTTAGCTAATTGTACTTGAAGCTCATTCACTTGCTTTTGTAGTTGACATATTGCTCCTGCACAACCATAAACAGGATCCCTCAACCTAGCATTGGCCTCATACACCATACTACTCACAGCATCTGCTCTTTGAAATTCTGGTAGTTCCTAAACAAAATTAACCAAATAGCATATGGTTATGATTAATGATTCGTGTTTAACTTGAAAAATGCCAACGAGTGTATGTATCAGATCTTTCGAAAATATGTTGAAGTGTCACTTTACTAAAGGTAACTAACATTATTAGTGAAATCAATGACATGGAAAATTAGCCAAATCACCAATTGTTACATGTTAAATTGCACTTATAGTGTAAAAATATAAGTATATATTTACAATGATATAAGGTAGATCCTCATGATAACTTTAGTGTAATTGTCGAAATCAATCAAATTTGTCAAATCTAACAGGTGGAATTATGTGTGTAAGAGAGAAGAATATAATTTTGATTAGTTTGACCATGAGTATAGTTGGTACCAAACCACAATTTTTTTTTCTTCAAAACTAATTAAAGTCATTGGACAAAGAAAAAATAAAATTGAAAATGCAGCCACATGGAAAAGAATAGTAATTTGAAAAAAAAAACCATTATATCTGTTGAACTGCCAAATATAGTATCCAAAGCATTTGAAAAAAAAAACATGTAAGCTTGAAAATGAATTGCCCTTTCTTACACTACTAAGGACAATATTGGTATTTCACTATTAAATTTCTTGTAACTATATTTGAACAATCTACGTACTCTTATATTAATTAGCCCATGGCTCTTTTACTTTTCAAATTGCATCTAGAAGTAAAAGTTATCATACTTCTACTAACAAGTTTAATTATATTGATCACTACAAAAAAGAAAGAGAAATTAGTTATGAATTTTGTCGCTATTAAATAGCTCGTAGCTAACATAATTTAGAAGTATACCTGCAAGAACTTGATAATATTGCTCGCACCAAAGACGCGATGAGCGGTAGTGAACTTGATGGGATCATTGGGAGGAAAATAAGGAGCCAACACACATTTCTCCGCGCACCTCCTCCGCAAGATTTTGCAGGCCGCACAAGGGCTGACGACCACTTGTGGCGATGGTGGAGAGTTAGGAGGAGAGGAAGAGGACGGCGAGACGGACCGAGAAGATGGTGGTGAAGAAGTAATGGTGGTGGTAGTGGTGGTGTCACTACTAGACTCCATTTCTTAAAGAAACTCTTTGGAGAAATATTTTTACGTGCTAGAAAATGTGAGAAGGGAGAATATTTGGAATGGTACGTTTAACTTGGAGTGAACAAAGGGAATATTTATAAGCCAATGGAAATAAAGGAAAAAGAATGAAAGGGTAGGATGGGGTTTGGGGTGGGGGTGGGGGGACCAGAGGGAATGACATCATAAATAAGAAAATGATGTCATAGGTAAATTGGTATAAATAAAATTAAAATTATAAGTATACAATGTAATTTTCCTTATTTATTTATTGAAGAATTTAAGTTATATACACTGATATATTATATATGTAAAGTTAAAATTATAAATATATAATGTAATTTTTAATCAGAGGGTTTGGAACCCCTTACTGGTTCCCCACTATTATTATATGATTTATCTATTATTACCTTACAAATAACTTAAAATATATACTAAATGTTTTTCATACTATCAACACATATAACATTTTTTTTATTAACACATAACGTAAAATTTTGACTGATCATGATAAGGGTAGAAAATCAATAGTGTAAATATTTGGCTCAGGGAAAAAAAAAAGGAACAACTAAAAATAATATGTATTTATTTTTAGATAAAATAACTAATAGAATTTCACTAATATTTGACTTTTGGAATGTGAAAACTTAAGTAGGAGCTTTGAAATTAGGTTAGCCGATATTCTAAGAACTTTTAACTAATATACAACTTGGCTTAACTAAAAGTTGTTTGTTGTGAACTAACAACCTTTTAAAAAAAAAAGGAATCTACACTTGTATAAATTACTAATTCATTTACTCTATCGACATAACTGGTAAATATCATTTTTCATTAATCTTATAATTTGTTGTAGAAGCACAAAAAGTATAAATAAGGAAAAAAAAGTTTGAAATATATCCGAACTTTGATTGAAATTATTGTAATAATTCCAATTTTAGGCAGGACCTATTACTCTCCTACACTATTTAATAGTGTATTTTAAAGATATATAAGTGCCCACGTGGACATCATAAATATTGCATCATTATAAATAAGAACTTGTCCACGTGAACACGTATATATCTTTAAAATACACTATTAAAAAGTGCATTGGTTAATAGATCCTGCCCAAAGTTTAGAATTGTTACAACAATTTCGATCAAAGTTCAAATATATTTTAGACATTTTACCCTAAAATAATTAATAAGACCATAAAAGCTCTTGCAAGTGCCAAAAAGAAAGATTATTGACAAAGCAAAAATAGTGCCGACGGTATAAACACGTACTCCTTGTACTTGAGTTCATTCATCTCACGTACTATCCTAATATATATATATATATATATATATATATATATATATATATATATATATAAAATTAACGATGTGGAATATGTTGTCTCCTTTACATTAGCCACAGTAAGCCGTTAGCACCTCAAGCATGATATCCAATTGAAGTTGATATGTCTAATTAAAAGAGATGTCATATTTTATATGATTAACTTATTTACGTATAAATATTTAATTTGAGAACAGACACAAAAAATACAAAATATGAATCAAAAGTCTTTAATGGAACATTTGATCACGTGTTCAGATGCTTAATTTATTAGAACATATCATAATCTAAGTGTCTAAATGAATTTTATCAACAAATTTAAAGGAATAATTAACGTATTCTCCAAAAATTATATATGTATGTGTATGTGTATGTGTATTACCTATACATACATGGAAAGATGCACTCATATAGTAATATAGAAGATTCTTTTAAATATTTCAACAAATTTGGTAGATGTCATTCTATAGGCTAGAATTTTTTTCAATATATAGCAGACATGTTTGGTTTGTATTTCTCATTCAGAGACTAAAAGTACTCTAAATACTTATTTTTTTCTAATTATAAGACATATTGGAAAAGTCCAAGGGTGACTAATTAACAGTGAGCCTAACTTAGAAAATACGCTCTACTTAATACTAATATAATTCTACATTGAAAATTTTCCTTTTTTAATTAGGTTTTGATGTGACTAAGTAAATTACACACACTTAAGTCAGGAACTAAGTTATCATCTTGCAATTAACAACTCAAAAAAAAAAAACATCCGTAGAAAGCGGAGATAGAATTACACTTTGAAACGTGTGAGTTTGAGATTTTAATTTGATAAGGTGAACATATTTAATATATTTCTTAAGAGTTAAAACTAATAAATTTCATTGAATTCGTAATTTGTACTCTAGCTCCGATAGAAAGATCTCAATATAACCTTTAAGCTATAAATCTATTTTATATATACCACTACTTGGGTAAAGTTGGTGGGACCAAATTCAATTGTCAGAACTTTAGAACTTTAATTTAGCAAAAAATACCATGATAGAGCTAGAGAATTTGATAATAGATTAAGGGGTATTTGAATTGGTTTTTTTAGGTGAGTTAAAAGTTAAAAGTTATAAGTTGAAAATATTCAACTTTTCGATTTTGACTTTTTTGATATTTTTTCAGCTTTAAAAAAGCGCTTAAAAATATTTTTTGAGTTATCCAATCAAAAACTAAAAATGACTAAAAAGCTAAAGCCACTAATATAGGTCAATCCAAACACCCATTTGGATTGACTTTTTATTTTTGACATATAAATCAAAAGTTATAAGTTAGAAATTTTATAGCTTATATATTTTGAAATTTTAGTTTAAACAAGTATTTATAAGCATTTTTTAAATTTATAAAAACACTTCAAAAGTGCTTGAAAGCTATTTTGGCTTAAAAACACTCAAAATAAGCCATTCCAAACATGCTTTAAATTTCTTGAGACAAAACATATGTTGATGGGTATATATATATATATATAAGTTCACCAACAATAGCGTATTCACTGAAATTCTATAAGTGGGGTATCAGGAATGAAAGTAAAGAGATTATTTCTTATAGACGTTTGACTCAAGTAAAGCATATCAAAATATGTATGCGAGAAACATAGTATAGAAGAAACCATGTTGAAAATAATGGAGAAAAGAAGAATAGCAACAATAAATAATACGATAACCAAAGCAAATGAAATAACAGGTAAAAATAAAATCAAAGAATAAGAAAGTAGAAGCAAAATAATGGTAGTATTGATAAGGGATACTACGACTCATGACTACCTACTAATTTTCTACTCTAATTATTAACCTTCATATCTTCATAGCTAGGTTCATGCCATCGGTAAGTTGCAAATGTGTCATGTCATGTCTAATCACCTTTCCAATATATACTTCTTCTTCCTTCATCAGGCCCACCATAACCAACCTCTTACACCTCCTCACTTAAAACATCTATGTATTTGCTCTTCACATGTCCGAAACATCTCAACATCCCTTTCCGCATCTTTTACAACACAAAGGTAACATCTACATCTTGTCCTAAATATCCCCGCTTCTAATCGTATCTCTCCTAGTAAGGACACACATACATCATAACATTCTCATTTTCGTTATGTTCATCGTTTAGATTGGATGTGCGAGTTCTTCACTGGCTAACACTTAGCCTCATCCAACATAGTTGGTCTAATAACCACTTTATAAATCTTAGTTTAAGTCTTGGTGTCACGTTCTTATCTGTCACAACCTGAAGTATACCCTAGACGTGACATGATGTATAAGACCCCGAGAAGCCCTACACAAGCCACTTGACATACATCATACAAGATAATAGAAACAAAAGAGTTTAAAAGGTTAACATTTCATACAAACGAGTTTGACCAAAAGCAAAAGTCTAAACATAAGTCTCAAAGCCATCTATTACATCAATGAAGTGATTGGGACGTAACCCATACACCACATGCAAAATCTGAAATGGAAATGACATAAAAAGAATTAAAGAGTCTCGATCCTCGGGTCTGACATTTAGGGTTATCAGTTTCGTGGCTAGAGGTTGTTGGAGAGATTTTGAGTTGTGGTGAGATCTCATGCTTCGAGGACCGGACTTTTATAGCTTTCGGTCATTTCTTACTTTCAGACTTTGTACGTGATGTCAGGATTACGTCCCGATCACATCTTGATGTATTAGATGGCAAATGAGACACTTAGTAGACTTCCGCTTTACTTTAATAAAACTCTTAGACTTTGAAATGTCAACTTTTAATATCTTTCAAGTTTCTATTATCTTGTGTATATATATATATATATGATGTATGCAAAGTGGCTTATATGGGGCATTTCGGGGTCCTATACGCCATGTTACACCTAGGAGTACCTTGGGTCGTGACATAAACTAAATAGCTTAATAATATTGAAAACTGAGATTAAAATGATAGACACGTTATTTGAAATCATCTTTTATATGTGGAACTGAGAGACCGGCTGAAAAACTAATTATGACAATTTCTGTATTGTGAATGAAATTAAATATACAATTTAAACGACACAAATTCAAATACATGATTTTTATTTTTTTATTTTGAGGGTTCATAAAAACACACTTGAGTAAAGATACTCAATTATATGAAAAAATATGTATTTATGGTTTTTTTTTGTTTAATTAAATGTGGTATTTTATTAATGAACTAGAAAGAGAAAATTACACCACCATACACCTCCTCGGGCAAAGTCCAATCCCATCACAAGCCCAACTACAAATAACGAGAACAAATAACGAAAACAAATAAACTCTAATCCTCTTTTCCTAAAGTCCAAACCCAACTTAGTTCAGTCAAAAAACTAGGTAGGTTTCCTAAATCAGAAATCCGCATCATTCTCCTTGTCTTTCTTCCTTCGTTTCTTCCACTTTCCCCTAGGATGATGTTCCCTCTTTGGATGAACAGTAGTCTTCGGTTCCTTCTGTTGTGATGGATCATCAATAAGCTGAGGTTTCCCTGTCCCCTTATCCCTTTATTGGTGAAACTCTTAAGTATGGGCATTTTAGTTTATCACTGTTGATGATCTTTCTTCCCTGCACTTCCATGCTATTAAAGTTTGTATATTTGAAATCTCCATGATCAATGGCTTTATTAGCTAGATAGTCTACTAGCTTGTTTCCCT